GGAGTCATCGTGCCATGACGTCGCTACAAGCGCCTTAGTATGTCGATGGCGCTTACTGCTGTTTACAAACACGAAATAGGTCCATAAATAGCTATATATAGATTCAAAGAAAAGCGGCGCACAAAAAAGACGGAGACAAAGAAGAGAACCACACACAGCGCTGCACTCACAACTGAAAGTTTAATCCGAGCAACAAGAATTTAAAAAGTAATAGCCGCGCATGACAAGTGAGGTACAACGAGATTAAGTGATACGCTCATCAATAAAAGTGAACTCTTTTTTGTGCAATGTAACCGAGGTCTGGCTTACGCAAGCATCACGTGACTTGTTAATATAATAGGCTTCAGACACCTCACGGGTGAATTGATCGTGGTGCTTAAAAATAATAACAGTGTTAGACAGAAGAGGTGTGCACCCACACGTGGCACAATGCGAAGCTAAATGAGAAGGCGTGCCGTTATGCAAAGAGAGATAGTGCTCCCGCAACCTTTTATTGATACAGCGGCCCGTCTGTCCCACATAATGAAGGCCACAAGATAAAAGAATGCGGTACACCACCCCCATAAGTATGTGCCTTGTATTGTGGGGGTGGTGTACCGCATTCTTTTATCTTGTGGCCTTCATTATGTGGGACAGACGGGCCGCTGTATCAATAAAAGGTTGCGGGAGCACTATCTCTCTTTGCATAACGGCACGCCTTCTCATTTAGCTTCGCATTGTGCCACGTGTGGGTGCACACCTCTTCTGTCTAACACTGTTATTATTTTTAAGCACCACGATCAATTCACCCGTGAGGTGTCTGAAGCCTATTATATTAACAAGTCACGTGATGCTTGCGTAAGCCAGACCTCGGTTACATTGCACAAAAAAGAGTTCACTTTTATTGATGAGCGTATCACTTAATCTCGTTGTACCTCACTTGTCATGCGCGGCTATTACTTTTTAAATTCTTGTTGCTCGGATTAAACTTTCAGTTGTGAGTGCAGCGCTGTGTGTGGTTCTCTTCTTTGTCTCCGTCTTTTTTGTGCGCCGCTTTTCTTTGAATATGAATACACACCAACTCGCCCAACTTTCTATCCTGCTACAAGCTATATATAGATTCTGCGCGCCGTTAAAAACCATTGCGCGACTAGTGCTTATTTCACGAATTTCTTTGCGGCCAGCCGTCTTGTGATAACGATAGAAAAATCACGACTTCAGCAAGTTGTGAACGCAACCTTTTCGAATGAACGGCTGCACAATGACCGCCGCTCACTTCGCTATACAGGCATGCTTTTTGGCTGCGTGAAGTACCGCAATGTGCGCCTCGCGCCCATACCACGCAAGCCGTCCGAGCGTCGGTTCTGCAGAGCTCATCACTGCCACACGAGGGACGATTTCCAGCCGGTCGTCTCGCTACATGTAACAAACAAAAGTTGCTCACCGAAGAGCCGCGAAGAATGTTAGAAAAATGCGAGCTTCCCGTGGAATAATAAACAAAGGTGAAAATAACGTGTGCTGGCCGGCGTGTCCTCGTGTTTTCTCTTCAGGGAGCACATGAAGCTTAAATACGAAAATCAGTGAAGAAGGTATATAATCTTTCAGCTTACGTGATGCGTGCACACACACACCCATAAATATATATATATATATATATATATATATATATATATATATATATATATATATATATATATATATATATATATATATATATATATATATATATATATATATACACACAAACCGGAAATCCCAAGTTCCAACCCGGCTACAGTGGTCGCATTTCATTAGAAGCAAAATACTTGAGGCTCGTGAAGCCAGTAACCCGAAAAGTTATCATAACTGGATGTCTTACATTTCGATACTTTCGGATTACCGGAATGAACAGCACAAAATATAAGATTTTCGTCCAGATGGGAACACAGCTTTTATTCAGTCGAGTACTGAAGACTGCGTGAGTTTCCACTGAAATCCTTTCAGAAATGGAGGACGAACCTTAGGCATAGTTCAACCCTGATATCAATCACTTAATAATGCTCTCCGGAGCAAAACAACAACAAGATCAAAACAAAACAAAAAGAAAAACACTGGTTTGGAAAATAACAGAAGAGACAATACATGAGACAGGGAGATACATTATCGAGCAGGATGTTTCTAGATACACGATTCAATACATAATTTGCCTTTCTTTCCACCCCCAAGACTGCTTCTATCATGTTTCTACATAGCACAGTGTGTGGATGTTTGTAATAGGAAGACTACAAAGGTAAACGACACACTTCGAAGACTGGTTTGGCTGCATTGACACTTCATGGCTCTTGGTGCATGACAAGTAGGCTCTAGTGTTTCCAACGAAACATTAATATGCAGCTGATGTCACCCGGGACGTTCGTAATGATACGGAGGCAAGGGAGAGGGTGGGGAGGGGGAGAGGGAAGTTACAGACCGCAGTTACATGGCAAATGACGCCTTCTGCGAGAAGGCCGCGTTTAATTCCCCCCTTCCCTTGTTTTTTCTTTGGTGTTTGTGACGCATAACACATTGCGAGAGTGCGTTCGCTACGCAAACGCAAACTCTATTTGCATCCAAACCAGTGGGCACGCCATTCCTGCTCGTTCAGCATTTCAGGATCAACTTCGCACGTAAGACTAACAGTGTTGTCCCAAGGAGGGAATTAAATGTAAGCATGCGATTCCGACATCGTTGTAAAGATTTATATAATACGCAGAACTTAAGATTTCGTGAACATAACGTAAATCGAATGCGAATTAATGTTAAACACATATTCATGCACAAATACTGGTGTTTGAGCTAACCTTTATGGTTTTCTCTAAATTCAGCACTGGGACAACCTTGAAAGCCCCGCTCGCATATATATACTGATATATCCAGGGGCACACAAAGTGAGACATCAGTTATCGCTGTCAGCTACTCTATTAAATAAGGTTTAACAATTACCTTTTCAGTGCCTGCCGGAAGTAAGCATGCTTCTATTGAAAACTTGGAGGCAATTGCATTCATATACAGTTCTACATGGAGTAATTCTTTTAGCATGTGGGTGCTGCGAGATATCCCGCTGCAAAGTTTGTGAGCTGATTCCATGATTGCGTATGAAGGGCGGTGAAGATCCGCGCAATGATCCTCCCCAATATGACGAACAATCATAGCCTAACTAATAGTAAAACGTTAACCATCATTATCATTGCCTGCGTCTGCGACTGGTCAGATAAACGGTGCACACAACTTCCACGGCATTTCGGGGAGAAGTTTTGCGCCAGGGCTGACTGTCTTGCCATGCGCAGCTATGTAAACCACCATTAAACTTCGCAGTGGCGTATCTCGGAGCAGACATGCCTGAAAAATCCTTCCGAGTAAAACAGTGTATAAATGCGACTGCCTACAACTTTGCAGTTGCAAACATGCCTACTTGCTGCAGCCTCTAAAAAGTTAATTATTACATCGTAGTTATTTGGAACGGGTGCTGTGTCTGACTCTCGTTTCTCTTACAACGGCGCCATCGCGATGTACCGACACCGACATTCCCGCGTCCACTACACTTCGGAGTGGACGAGTGCTCTCGGGTTCGCCAACGGCCATGGACGGCGTCCAAGCCTCCATGGCGGCTCCGCTTCATGACTAATTATTGTCTTTCTTGGTGTCCCCCTGAATACAACTGTTATCCGCAAAGGTGGTTTTCATGTTCTTCTCACTGCTGAACTTTAAAAAAAAAACAAAGCTTAATTTTGAGCACCCTGTACATCGCATACAACTCAATATCTCGCCGTAAAAAATCTTGTGCTACAATGTTACTTGTTTTACTTCGTAACTACCAAGCTGCGGAGTACCAAAAGTGCACAAATACAGGCGCTTCATATCCGTACATCCGCCCACCGCAGAACCGATTGGCAGGCGAAATATGCACAAGCCGGCAGACAGGAGGCTCGCCTTTCATTTCACAGCTACACCGCTTGCAGGCGCACGGCTCGTCTTCTGGCAGATGTGACGTGAGTACCGTTGGAACAGAGCTCTTCCTTCACTGATCTATTTCTGCTCTGCCTCATCTTTGGAACGAGGTTTCAAATGTAAGGTTGGACACAAAGGAAGAGAGTTGTGCTATAGCTCCTCCTTTTACGTTTTCTTTTTTTTTGTAGGAACTGAAGATTAGAGTCACAGTGAGTTCTGAATAGAGGCAATGCTATTTTATATGTTTTACTTTTATGACTGCATTGGTTAGTAATCTTGATACGTACTGCAGCCTCATGCTTTTACGTGTCCAGTTCGCGTTACCTTTTAATATATAGCTATTCCAACTCATCCAGTGCGGCACATTACTACAGCTCACACTATGTGTGTGGAGGAAAGAAGCTAAGGTTGACGAATCTTCCCCTGTCTTTCCATTTCCTCGAAATTAATTCGGTCAGAGCAATCACAATTTTACTGTACATTTCACCATAGTACAATGTTGTTCACAGTAACATGACTTCAAAGCCAACAAACGTGTTCACTTTTCTACGAAGCCAACCGGGACATATGAAAGGACTTTCTTTTGTTCCGTGCAATTACTAGACGACTCTGATAAAATCACAGTTGTCATGAAAAGTATACCCACACACCTTCAAAACCTCAACCCATATTCTCTAAAATAACATTCTTGCTGTTGTAGTGAACCTCTCACCCTTAGCAAGGTCGCAGAACAAAGTTTCATCGCGATTACAAATGTTGACAAAGTGGTCCTGAGTACCATGAAAACAATAGATTTCGTCAGCATTTCTCTTCTAAATCCACCTGCACACTGTTTTGGGATCAGTATGTCGTGGCATAGCGGCCGCGACAACATAAAGCGTGCTGAGAATGCACTGAAGTTAAAAAAAAGGAGTACTGAGAGGAAGCAATCAACCTCCCCTTAATTCCCAGGCGGGATTTTAGAGATTTCGTTTAGGCGGCCTGTAATCAATGGTGGCTGCACGTCGCAACAACATTTTCGTAACCGAAGCGGCTTTTTTTTTCTTGCAGAGCTGCAGAGGGTTCCAGACAACAGTGCAAGATGACAGAGAGCAGCGTAGGAAGCCGGTGCGACAGGCACTTCACCGATGGTACTCCCATTCGATGACCATGGAGGCAAACCATACAACCTGTAACCCTGCCAAATATAGTGTCAGCAGTATCGTCTGGGTGGCAGGTATCCAGTGCAGTCTTGCAGTTGTCGCCCTCCTTGGCAACCTTCTGGTCATCGTGTCCGTGTGCCGATGCACCCGACTACGCACCATCACCAACTACTTCGTGCTAAGTCTCGCCTGTGCCGACCTTCTCGTCGCACTCAATGTCCCTTTCTACGACGCCTTCTACTTTTTCGAAGATCTGTCGTGCCATCGGAGGCTTTGCATGCTGCGCTACTGGTTCGCTACCTACTCGACTGCGTGCTCCTCCTTTAGTCATCTGGGTGTGGCCGTTGACCGGTACGTATCCGTGGTGCACGGTATATCGTACCACCGCCTCATGCGATACCGACTCGCCGCTGGCTATATTGTCTGCGTCTGGATCTCATGCCTTTTGTACAGCCTGTTGCCTTACATGGGCATCGGTGACAACGAGGACTACCCACTAGCTCTGGATGCAGCCCATGTCGTCTGCGATCTCAGTTACGTCTATTCCCGAATCTACATCCTAGCGACAGTCGGTATCTCGACCATTGGATCGGCCCTGACTCTGGTTTTGTACTTTTTTGTGTTCCGTGCCTCGTGGAAACACCTGAAAGCAGTAGCCTCTACCAGTGATGTCCATCACCGAGTGAAGCAAGAGGCCCGGACTGCGTGCACCATGGCATTAGTGTTAGCGGTGTGTATTCTGGGAGTCCTTCCTTACTCCATCATCGTCTTCATCCCTTTCTTCTACGACATGAGCACCAGTCTACAAGTGCACGTCAAGCCGTACGTGATCTGTCTGTTTTTCGGCAAGTCATCTGTGAACCCTATCATATATGGATGGAAAGCTAAAGACTTCAGGGCCGCCTTTCGAGAATTTTTGTGCCCTCGGAAATCGAACGGTGCGAGGCCAGCTTGAGTGCGGCTTTCGTCAAACGGGTTGTGGTGATTCTATTCAAAAAGGCACCCTGTGATTTCACGATTAGTGCACGTTGTTTCTTATTGAGCTGTAATCTCGTGAGATTTGCAGGGAAGTTGCCATATCAAGCACTCCTTATAAAATGTCCATCGGTACAACATGAGAAACAAAGCCCGAATCTGCACTCTTTGATCAACATAACCTAGCTGACCAAACCACGTTATTGTCCCACAGGCTAGGATCTGGTTGGCGTTGTCGTAATTGTGCTTATGAGCGTATAAATCATTCATAATGGAGAATAGAGAATAATGTGATACAACAGTCAGGTTTGTACCTATACATAGATACATTCACGTCATACTCAGCTTTTCAAAGTTTGAGCGTAACTTGCGAAAATGGTGTCTTTAATTTCTCGTTCCGCTGAACACGTGGAACATTTCTCTTTTGAAGTGGATGTAAATGCCGTTGGTTGTAAAATTCTCAAACTGCACGTTGCGTTGCATCAGCTATGTCAAAAATGTCAAACGATGCAGACGATGTCAACAGTCACAAAAAGTGAATTATCACAAAACATTATCATTGAGATCTGAGTTACTTACTGTAGAGCCTCAATGGACAAGAACGATCTCAGTTCATTGCAACCTGCAATGTTCTTTTTTTTTCTTGTAACTGTGGCGTTCGTGGATCCTATTTTGGGCCAAAATAAAAGCATTTACTAATTTTTTTACTGTTGAAGCAATGTTGTGTTTTATGAGTGTTAAAAGGCAAAAAAAATATGTTGGAACTAAACGCAGGGCTAAATGCATCGCTGAAGAGCTTTTGAGATGGCTACACACTAAAGCTTCTGTGTGAATGAGGCTAAGCAGAGAAGAAGTGGTGGAGGCGTCTGCAAAGGTGCCTCGACCACAATTTCACCACACCACCACAACTTTGTTGCGTTTCTGCAGCCTTACGAAGGTAGGAACTTGTTCTGACAGGGACGGCTATATGCTCCACCTTAGTAGAGTACCCAGTACCCAAAATCATTAAACACTTTTTTCTAAACACACAGAGGCTGCGAAGGGTAAGAAGAATACTTAACAGGACCTCACTGAAGAGGAATTTCCCAAGATTTGCTTAGCATTCTGCTGGCCCGGGTCTTTTTTTTTTGCAGCGGGGCTGTTAATGTTTTCGTTATGGCGGTCTGTGTCGGCAGAAAACTGTCATTTGCAGGGACGGGTATGATCCACAGAAAGCGGGTAATCCAAGTGGAGTTCGAAGACAAGTTAGTGAAGCCACGCATAAGAAGATAATAATGACTCATCAGCTAAGTCTAAACTAATAAATTATATTTAAACGCAATAATGTCTATAGTACTAATTAAGACGGCGTAATTAATAATAATGTTTCAGTGTGGCCTAGCTATTGTAATTAGCCACACTATCGGTGAGCCAGGGTAAGTATAGCCAAATCAATTTAAGCACAACTGATCATGCTATCAACTAACTAGGCTGAAAATGATTGAATTTAGTGAGACCTGACACATTTGGGCCATATTATTTCAAGAAATCAAAGTCAAATTCGAAAATGAGGCGACGAAGCCAAGCTCAAAGAAATACTAATCATCACTTATAGGGTCAAGTTTAACTAAACAAATTAATGGTAACTGGTGCTAATTAAACTGACATAATCGAAATTTTCAGTTGTATGCGACATAACAAAACTCACCCCGAGGTATTTCAGCTTTATAAGGCCTCAGATCACCCGTTAATTTAATTAAGCTAATTAGCCATATGGCACCATAAGCCAAGCGGTGGTTAGCTTTATAGTCGTATTAAATCTTGTCGAAACCTGGAGGCTTACAAAGAGGGTTTCGCTTAAACTGAAGACGACGCAGCGAGTGATGGAAAGGAAAATGATATGTGTAACCGTAAGAGACAAGAAGAGAGCAAAGCGGGTCAGGGAACAAACCGGTGTTAAGGCTATCCCAGTTGAAATTAAAAAGAAAAATTAACGTTAGCCATGCACGTAGCGCGTAGGAGGGATAACCGCTGGTCATTAAGGGTAACTGACTGGATTCCCAGAGAAGTTAAGCGGGGGGGGGGGGGGGGTAGAGAAAGTTTGGTGGGCAGACGAGATTAGGAAGTTTGATTTGATGATTTGATATGTGGATTTCTACATCCCAAAACTTCCATATGATTGAGAGACGCCGTAGTGAAGGACTCCGGAATTTCGACCACCTGGGGTTCTTTAACGTGCATCCAAATCTGAGCACACGAGCCTACAACATTTCCGCTTCCGTCGAAAATGCAGCCGCCGCAGCCGGGATTCAATCCCGCGACCTGCGGGTCAGCAGCCGAGTGCCTTACCCACTACACCACCGCGGCGGGGCTAGATTAGGAAGTTTGCGGGTATTAAGTGGCAGCAACAAGCACAGGACCGAGTTGACTGGGGGAACATGAAAGGGGTCTTTGTCCTGCAGTAAACGTAGTCAGGTTGATGATTATGATGATTATGATGATGATGATGATAGTGATAATGGTGATCGGAATAATGATGATGATGATGATGATGATGAGGATATTTTGTCGTTTGCGCCATACTCAACATTGTGATACTTAAGGAAAGTTTCCCACCAGACGCATCATACGAAGGTCATGTCTGGCATCTGTAGCAAGGACGTGTACAACCTTACAGAAATGTGAAGCCGTATCAGCTGCAATTGATAGATGAGTAGACGACACCAATTTTTCTTATTAAGCGAAGCCATTTGATTTTCCGTCAGCACGAAAAGATATTTTCGGCAGCGGCAGCGTCAACACAAGTGATCCGAAAGGTTATTTATCACACGAGGACGTCACTGGGTTGAAATATAGTCGGCATCAAATGATGCAGTAAATAAAGAACGTACTTTCCTGTTCAAAACAGGGCTGACCTCCTAAGCACACCAAAACCTCTTTCTGATGTGCTTACGCTGGCTTTCTTCAGGTATCACGAACCAACGGGCCAAAACTTCGACTGAACACGAGGAGTCAAAAACATCCGATCCTGCAAGCAGTCCAAAATCACGAATCTTCTGGGTGAATGCAATCGACTGTGACGAGAGAGGAGAAGACGACTGAGGCCAACATGGGTCGTGGGAGTTTTCGTGATTGGAAGTGAGCCAAGTCGGCGTCGAGCATGGTTTACTGATGAGAACCATTGGCCCTAGCTTATGGTTTGTGTGGTAATGTGCAGGTTAGAGTATGCGGTTGTGTGCCTGTACGTACTGTAAATCCACGTTTGAGGCCAGCCCACGAAACTGAACACATATTTGTTTAAGGTCATAAAAAGCCCCCAAATACCGGCAGATCTCACGCACTGTGGGAATAAATGTAATGCAAAGCAGCCAACAAGAAGCAAGTAATGCTGCACATTACATACACGTCATGGCTGATATGCTAGGACCCGTTATTTCTGCTCGTCATACACTCACGTCACGCAATACTTATCTTGGTGTTTTATTAGACTCAAAACGGCCGTAGCGCACTAGGAGCATTGCATAAACCACGTTATACAGACATTCATGTCATGATTTTTATGTTACCACCTCTTATTATTAGCGTCATAGTGACACCACTAAACACCAACTTTGGTATATATCAAGCAAGCAAACTGGATGCAAGTACACCATGAACATGACAGTGGCGTGGCGCATGAAATGCATGTCATGATATTCAGGCTATACCATCTGCCCCTTCTGTTCACCTTACAGTCATTGCGCCGTACTAATTTTGATGTATATCAAGCTAGCGAGATGGCCCTGAGCACAACATGAGCGTGGCATGTAGACAATGGTGAACATGACATGGATTTCATGATTTTTAGATACGAAGCAGATCATTGACTCACGTGTGTAACACCTTACGTATTGCCACCTGATATGCTTGGGTGAGATCCAGGAGTGGAAGAAGACAAAGACGATCTGTCTGAGCTGCTGCTTGGCTAGTCGACTCAACGAACCCAATAAACCAAGTTTGTCTTAAGAAACGAGACAAGACTGGTGGAGTTGCTGGGTACAACGTCTCACGATACACCCGATGCCCAAGACCCCACCCAGCAGCCGGAACACAAGCCCTGCACCCGTGAACACTCCTGTTCACAGAGTAAGCCGCCGCCAACGAGGCCTACTACCTGAGACACCAACCACTGACGCAGCGACTATGACTTCGACACAAGATCCCGTGCAAGCACCGACCCCTTCCACGCCGATCTACTGCACCGTCCAGAACCCGCTGATGCCTAGCCCCTTTCATGGAGAGCAGCATGAAGATGTTGACGACTGGCTGAGTGAGTTCGAACGTGTCGCAGCGATAAATTACTGGGATGATGCCGCGAAGCTCCGGAACGTGTACACTTGCCTAAAGGACGGTGCCAAGACGTGGTTTTTGAACAGGGATGATGTTCTGACATCTTGGCGCGAGTTCCAGCGTCACCTTCTGGAGACCTACAGGAGTCCCGACCGCCGCGAACGGGCGGAGCGTGCATACAATCACGCATCCAGATGCCAAACGAGACCGTCTCGATGTACGTTGAGGACATGGCACGGCTTTTCAAGCGAGCGGATTCTGCTATGGCAGAAGAAAAAAAAGTTGCGCCACCTCATGCGTGGTGTGAAGGAACAACTTTTTGCTGGTTTGGTGCGTAGTCCCCCTAAGAGTGTTGCTGAGTTCCTTACTGAAGCGGCAACAATGGAGCAAGTACTGCACCAACGGTCTGCCCTGTTTGACCGTCAAGTGAATGCTGCCTCAACCCACGAAATTTTCGCCACCCCTGGGAGCAAGAGCCCCGAATGGATTCGCGAGATCATCCGATCTGTTGTCCGGGAAGAAATGGAAAAGATGTACGGGACAAGACCAATCAATGTTGGTTCTATCACCAGTGTCATCCGTGACGAGGTCCAACAGGTGTTGCACGCCCATCGTTTTCCGCTGATGTCGGTTGATCCGGAAACGGCTCCTGTGTCTACTGACAGTCGCCGTCGTACGTACGCGGAAGCCTTGCGATCTGCCATGCCTCGTTCTGGTCAAGGAGTCCCGACCCAGCCAGTGGCGCACGTC